CGAGATCGCGCCATTGCAGTCCAGCCTGGGTAACAAGAGCGAAACTCCGTCTCAAAAAAAAAAAAAAAAAAAAAAAAAAAAAGTGATTGTTTTCCTGTAGGACCTGTTTTAGTCCATTTGGGGCTATAACAAAATATTTTAGACGGATTATTTCTTTTTGTTGCTGTTGTTGTTTTATGCTTTTTTTAGACTGAGTCTCACTCTATTGCCCAGGCTGGAGTGCAGTGGCACAATCTCCACTCACTGCAATCTCTTTCTCGGCTTCAAGCGATTCTCATGTCTCAGCCTCCTGAGTAGCTGAGATTACAGGCGCCTACCATCATACCTGGGTAATTTTTGTATTTTTTTTTTTTTTTTTTTTTTTTTTTTTTTTTTTTTTTTTTGAGACAGAGTTTCGCTCTTGTTACCCAGGCTGGAGTGCAATGGCGCGATCTCGGCTCACCTCAACCTCCGCCTCCTGGGCTCAGGCAATTCTCCTGTCTCGGCCTCCTGAGTAGCTGGGATTACAGGCACGCGCCACCATGCCCAGCTAATTTTTTGTATTTTTAGTAGAGACGGGGTTTCACTATGTTGACCAGGATGGTCTCGATCTCTTGACCTCGTGATCCACCCGCCTCGGCCTCCCAAAGTGCTAGGATTACAGGCTTGAGCCACCGCGCCCGGCCTACAAACATTTTTAAAAGCCTAAGCCTTTCAGTTTAGACCAAAATATAGCCAAGGCTATGGAGTCACATCTGTGTGAGTCAGTTTGTTTGATCAAAGACATAGCTTATGCCTTTTTGATCAAAAGAACTAAAAGCATAATTGCCATAAATCCACTACCAATGCTGGAAAAGGTGATATACTTGATAGTTTTCTAGATGTAGGACAACAATATATACAAAAAGAGGACTTTTTTTTTTTTTTTTTGAGATGGAGTCTTGCTCTGTCACCTAGTCTGGAGTGCAGTGTCACAGTCTTGGCTCACCGCAACCTCTGCTTCCTGGGTTCAAGCTATTCTCCTGCCTCAGCCTCCCCAAGTGTTGGGATTATAGACATGAGATGCTGCGCCCTGCCAGCTTCAGGATATTTCTTAGCAGAAAAATAAACTCATAATTTTAGGTTTCACACTCTCTTGTCAGTGAACAAATGGACATGGATATCTTTTCTGAGTAAAAAATTTCCCAGTGTTGGAATATTTTACTTTTATTTTTTTATAGACAGGGTCTTGCTCTGTTGCCCAGGCTGGAGTGCAGTGCATGATCATAGCTCATTGTAGCCTCAAACTTCTGGGCTCAAGCAATCCTCCTGCCTCAACATCCCATCCAGTATGGGATATTTTAAAAGATGCATAATTTTATAATTAACAATACAATAATATATTCATAATGTTAGATGTTAGAATTGGCACATTTATTACATTTGTTATATATGTATATGTGGGTGCTTAAAATAGGTTTTATTATTTATTTATTTATTTATTTATGTTGAGATAGAGCCTCACTCTTACCCAGGCTGGAGTGTAGTGGTGCAATCTCAGCTCACTGCAACCTCTGCCTCCTGGGTTCAAGCAATTCTTATGCCTTAGCCTCCCTAGTAGTAGCTGGGATTTCGGGCGTGCAGCACCATGCCCAACTAATTTTATTTTTGATTTTTTTAGAGAATGGGTTTTGCCATGTTAACCAGGCTGGTCTCAAACTCCTGACCTCAGGAGATCCTCCCACCTTGGCCTTCCAAAGTGCCAGGATTACAGGCATGAGTGACTGCACCCTGCCTTAGGTTTTTTTTTTTTTAATTTGGCAAAGGAATATGGATCTAAATAGTGGAAATCTTTGTAGCTGATAGCTTTCTTTCTTTCCTTTTTTTTTTGAGATGGAGTTTCACTCTTGTTGCCCAGTCTGGAGTGCAGTGGCGCGATCTTGACTCACCGCAACCTCCACTTCTCGGGTTCAAGGGATTCTTCTGCCTCAGCCTCCTGAGTAGCTGGCATTACAGGCATGCATCACTGCACCTTGCATTTTTAGTAGAGATGGGGTTTCTCCATGTTGGTCAGGCTGGTCTCCAACTCCCAACCTCAGGTGATCCACCCCCCTCGTCCTCCCAAAGTGCTGAGATTACAGGCGTGAGCCACTGCGCCCAGCCAGCTGATATATATATATATATATATATATATATATATATATATATATATTTTAAAGTAAATAAAACAGTTTCTTCAGTGATCAGATAGTTCATAGAAAAGTGTGTTGATGATACTTTGTAGTGTCTTAAGCTCTGTATATAAATCTTGGAGTCATGGAATACATTAAAACTTTAAAAGTACTGTACAGATTAGCTTATTGTATTCTTCATTATAATCAATAAGAAAAATTGAGATCCAGGAAGGATTAAATTTGATCCTACAGCTAGTTATAGAAAGAGACAGCTTTCTCTTCCAAGTTTTCCTTTCAGTCTAGTACTTTACCTTACTGACTTAATTCGGTTATTTAAATAGGGTTGTCTTCTGTCATCCAGGCTGGAACACAGTGGTGTGATTATAGTTCATTGTAGCCTTGAACTCCTGGGCTCAAGCAATCCTCCTACCTCAGCCTCTCGAGTAGCTGCGACTACGGGTGCATGCCCTGGCACCTAGCTAATTTTTTGTTTTCATTTTTTTTTTTGTAGAGGCAAATTCTTGCTTTTTTGCACACACTGGTCTCAAACTTCTGGCTTCAAGCAATCTTCTTGCCTTGGCCTCCCAAAGTGCTGGGATTACAGTTAATTTTTATGTAAATCCCTAAGTGTCAAGCCAAATCAGTTTAATCTTTAGAAAGTAAGCATGCATAACAGCACATGACATGGTCTGTGGCACATATATGCTTTGTAAGCATTATTTGAATATTAACATGTGTAGTTCATTAGAATAAGTTCCCTGTTGGCAGAGATGGTATTTGATTCACTGTCGGTTTAAAATGTCTAGCATAGAACCTGGAATATCATAGGAACTAAATATTTGTTAAATAGTTTTAAGATCAAGTTCATTTTTAAAATGAAGAGTGCTTTATAGCAGTGTCCTTCAATTTCAAAAACAAAGTCCATACCCTCCACATATTTTTAAATTTACATTTAAGTTTTCTATCATAAGTTTAAATAGTTGCAAAGGATGTAACTTCTAGTTGGCAAATATTTACATATTTAAATAAAAGTGTTACATCAATTTTGAAATGTATCCAACAGAATATAAATATCATAGGATTTTAAATATCACCCACTTTAAAAAGACATGCATGAACTCTTCACTAACCATTAGAATTTTTAAATTGCTTCTTTCTTGAAGTTTTATTTTTATTCCTCTTCCACAGATTTTTATCCTATGTTTATACACACACACACACACACACACACACACACACACACACACACACAGACATATATTTTGGTTTTGGTTTTGTTATTTTTTGTAATATATTTTTATGTTTAAAAACTTCCTACTAGGCTGGGCCCATTGGCTCACGCCTGTAATCCCAGCACTTTGGGAGGCCGAGGCAGGAAGATCACTTGATGGTCTGAACCATCACCCTAATACTAGGAGTATGAGACCAGCCTGTTCAACATAGTGAAAACCTGTCTCTACAAAAAAAAAAAAAAAAAAATACAAAAACAAAATTAGCCAGGTGTGATGGCTCATGCCTGTGGTCCCAGGTATTTAGGAGGCTGAAGTGGGAGGATCACTAGAGCCCAGGAGGTAGAGGTTATAGTCAGCCAATATCATGCCACTGCATCCCAGCCTGGGTGACAGAGTGAGACCCTATCTCAAAAATAAATAAAGGAAAGAAAGAAAACTTCCTACTAATCATCTTATTCATTAAAATTAAAATATTTAACATTTTTCTGTGATTTTTTTTTTTTATTGAGTTGTCATAGTAATGATACACAGTTGATCAAAACAACATAAACATGTTGCAAATTCAGCAAATTATTTTTAAGCAAAAAGATGTAAAAATGTTACTGGAAATGCATTTTTGGAACAGATGTGGCAGAATGGACCTTTGAGTAAAAGAGATTCCCCTAAATCTAGTATTTTGAGTTATCTCTTTGTTTGACACTTCAGAAGCTTTCACACCTCGGGGAAATATGTCATCATAAGACTCAGGGTATCCTGGATGGTATGCTTTAGGTCTGCATTACCGTTAATAAGTGGGTGAAATGACAGTGAGAGGCAGTGGGAAGGGAAACTGTTGGGATGCTTCCATCCACTGTAGCATGGTACCAGGCAGATTTGTTTTACAAAGAGTATTTGGGGAATTAATATCTCAAGATTGATTTCCCTTCTTGGCCCACATACACCTTGGTAAATTTTTGTCCACCTTTAAGGCTATAGTTTGAAGACTGCTACCTTAGAGGATAATTTATAGAGATTATGTTAACTAGATTATCACATGTGTGGTTAAGTAGACAAGATGGTTGTGGTGAACGTGTATTGTCTTTTCTGCCTCTTCCTTTTCCATTCCAGGTGGTTCTGGCAGGACTGTCAATGATACTACCTCATCTCTCACAGGCAGTCTGGTCTGGCTAATCATATTAAATCTACTCTTTTGGATATAGTTGTTTGTCCACAGTAGGCATAAAAACCAAGCAGATCGATAAAAGCCTTTCCCTGGAATTGGTATATAAACATTGGGGAAGAAAAGTTTACTTTTTTTCTATTAGGAGCTGCTGAGCTGGGAATATGTGGCTCTCGAGCTGTTGGCACTGAGTTGAGAGTGCTGCTCTGCAGAATGAAGACAAGCAGAGCTAAGCAAAGAGGCAGGGAGGCGAAGGGCCTCAGGGAGCACCTAGCTCACTCCTTGGTACCTGCAGCTTTTCTTTTGATCCTTTGAGCTATCCCGGTATTCTTTACAGCTACATGAGTCACTAAATTACCTGGTTTTGCTTAGGTTTTGCTTCTGAAATACTTTTATTAACAACTGAGAAAAGTAAACTCAAAGTTTTGTGAAATATCTTTTGTAAAATGAATAATTTTGAAATTTTGTCTCTTCTAGATTGTTGGACCTTCAGATGGAAGTAGTTACATTATAGATTATTATGGAACCAGACTTACAAGACTGAGTATTACCAATGAAACGTTTAGAAAAACACAATTATACCCATAAATATTTTAAAAAATAAACAGTAAGTGATATATACATATATATATAGTATCTAATCTTATATTATTAATATAAAATTATGAGAATTTTAGTACCATAGAAAATTTTAAGAGACCATATAGACCTCTCAGGTCACCATATGCCTGAAACATCTCCAGTCCTTTGAAAAGGATTTTAGTCCACGCTCATGGTTCCTGCGATTCTCACTTCAGATTCTTTGCAGTGTATATGGTTAAAGGACAAAGTTCACAAGAAAAAAGTAACATCAAAAAAAGGCATTTTTTATATGATGGTTATGATGAAAGTATGTGCCGTAAATAGTTCAGCATAGCAGATATTTCTGCTGCCTATCCCTCTAAGGATCAATATAATCTTTTACTTCCTCCTTTGCTTCTCCCCTCTGAAACTGAAAATAGATACTGATAGGACCCAAAGCCTGAATTCTGTGTAAGTGCTTATTCTAACCTAAAGTTTGGCTCTGCCTATACGAGTTACTAATTGGCCTCAGCTTTATTTTATTGATTGATTGAGACAGAGTCTTGCTCTGTTGTCCAGGCTGGAGTGCAGTGGCATGATATCAGCTCACTGCAACTTCCACCTCCCAGGTTCAAGCGATTCTTGTACCTCAGCCTCCCTAGTAGCTGGGACTATAGGCACACGCCACCACGCCGAGCTAACTTTTGTATTTTTAGTAAGAGAGGGAGTTTCTTCATTTTAGTCAGGCTAGTTGCAAACTCTTGACTTCAGGTGGTCCACCCACCTAGGCCTCCTAAAGTGCTGGGATTACAGGCATCAGCCACTGTGCCTGGCCAGCCTCAGCTTTAAACAGGTGATAAACCTGCTGAAGTCAGAGATGCCATTCTTCTTCCTGGTTCAACTTTATGGTTTTCTAGGACTCTGCTACTACAAGGTTTCTTATCTCAATTACCATACATTAGTCTATTCTAATAATCTTCCAATAATGCAAAGTTTTTCCCAGAAAGGATTTTGGTAGAATATCAGGAAAACATTTCCTGGTATAATCATTCTCTGTAATAGAGAAATCCAAAAATCATGTAGGGTGAAGGGTAGTTCTTAAGTAATAGTTCACTGACCTGTCTAGCAGCTTTCATAGACACAGGCAGGCAGAGAGAAAGACAAGGTAGATGTCTTAACCATTATCCTAGTACTAGGGTTTTCAGTCAACTCTATCTCAAAGACTGCTTCTAGAGGCCAGCAAGAGAATACACATGCGTTTTCTATTTTATAGAATAGAAATAATAGACATGCGTTTTCTATCTTATAGAATAGAAATAATAGACGTGTTCTCTATCTTATAGAATAGAAAAGGATACGAAGTATACTTTTGCCCTTTAGGTGGATTTTTTTCTTTTCTAACAGTAAAATTATGCATATACCTTTTAGTTATTGTCATGGGATTGAACAATGACACACTCTCAAAATGTAAGGAATTTACTCAACCGATTGTCCAAAAAGTTTTCAAATCTTATAAACTATAAGTCATCGAGCCTTAAAGTTGGAATAAAGCTTAGAAATCCATGTACCTCTTCTTACCAGGAAAAAAATTGAGAGCTAAGGAAGCTGAGACTAAGACACAACTAAGTAGTGCAAAACTGAAACTAGAATCTAGGTCTTCCATTTATTCTATGACATGGCTGGTATCTTCCTCCCATCCTACCCTGGTTCCTGTCGACTGTATCGTTTTGTATTAGGCATTTTCATTTTGGAAATTATTTCTCCTATTTTATGAGACAGATTGTGTAGTTTCATGTAACTTTTATTATTCATACTGTAAATTGTGTCTCTTTCAAAAGAAGATTGTTTCTAAGCCATAGCAGGTAAAAATTAAACAAATAGCCGGTGCGGTGGCTCACACTTGTAATCCCAGTACTTTGGGAGGCCCGAGGCAGGCGGATCATGAGGGCAAGAGTTCAAGACCAGCCTGTCCAATATGGTGAAAACCTGTTTCTACTAAAAAATACAAAAATTAGCTGGGCATTGTGGCATACACCTGTAGTCCCAGCTACTGAGGAGGCTGAGACAGGAGAATTGCTTGAACCCAGAGGCAGAGATTGTGGTAAGCCTAGATCACGCCACAGCACTCCAGTCTGGGTGACAGAGTGGCAGTCCATCTAAAAAAAAATGAAGCAAACGTAATTTTAAGAGTAATCTCGTTCTTTGTAGCCTATCCTATGAACATTTAATTAGGATTTCAGAGCCAATATCTGCATTATCATTCATGTAATCTCTACATTATACAGAAGTGCTCCAAGAGTGAGAAAAAAAAATGTATTGAGCAAGTAAATGAAATGTTAAAATGTACCTCTGTAGTAACCTCACTGGGCTCTTAAAAAATGTTGTGTTTTAACATACTTCTTTTTTCTGTTTTAGGATTTTGAGCCTCATTGATTTTAATAGAGAACTTCAAATATGTGGATTTAAAGATTTCTCTTTTTCCTTCATCTGCCATTTTATGAGTTCTGTATGATTTTTGTGGTTTTTGTTTTGTTGACTTAGTTAAAAGTATATTATTCTGAGATTTATTTAATAGGACTTTCTTTGAGAGCTGTGTCATAGTGTTTCTTGGGCTTCTGTATGAGAGATAGCTTATTACCCTGATATTCTTTAATCTTTTACAAAGGCAAGTTGCCACTTGTCATTTTTGTTTCTGAAAAATAAAAGTATAACTTATTCACATTTTTAGTGCTTTGTTATTGAGAAAATCTTCTTAAATGTTGAATGTAGCTGTCTTATGCATTTTGATCCTTCAAAGCATTTAATCCGTGGTGTGAACAAATACCATTTAAATTGCCTGGGGCTTCAGTCTTATGCATAACAACCCACCTGTTTTTCTGCAACTTTCAGATCCGTCCTTGCCTTGGTATCCAGGGAGCTAAAGATCATTAGGGAGTCTGTGAAACCTTGAGGCAACGTATACACTTCTGGCATTGATTCAGGCCTCTGAAGTGTGAACTTTTTCCTTTTCTGCTTTGGGAGTGCTACACTAGCTTTTGGAAGACCAGATGCTGACTCGTTTAGCTCACTGCAGTTATATTTGAAGCTGGATGGACAAGGTGGGAGCACCCAACAGATGATTAATGTCTTCCATCTGTGAGCACCACCAGGCAGATGCCCGCACAGGTGCCTTAAGTGATGCCCCAGTGTGTAAAAAAAGCCCCGGTATGTTAGCACAGGCTTTTCTTACCATGTTTAGAGGAGTTTTCATGAAGATGGAAATACATGAAATGTTATGTCCCCAGAATACTGTCCCACATTTTCTTTGTTAACAGGCGTACCAATTTCAAAATCACTTGTGTCTGTGCTCCTCAAGAGTAAAAACCATAATTTTTTGTCACACATTTTCCTCAAAAGCAGACAATATAGTACAGTTAGCTTCAGTGGTAGCTTCTCAAGTTGTTGGAAGATTATTAAATATTAATATATGAAATGAATTTGGGTTGACCCCTAATGTACACCAGGAACATCTCTTTGATTTGTTCAAAGAGATGTTTGAACAAGTTTGATTGTCTAGCAAATGGGAGGCTTGATCTATATGGGAGGATGCAGCAGTGAGCAAAACCCCCAAATTCCTGCCTTTTAGAACCTTACATTTCCTTGGGACTTACTTTTTCACTGTGATTAGTTTTGGTCACAGTTAAACCAGTTGGTAGATACCCATTTTCTAGTGTTCCTGAGTTCCTTTAGGTTGTGGACAGTGCTTTGTAGTTTACTTCAGTATCATCTAAGCTCAGAATGTAAGTCATGTTTCCACAGAAAGGTTAGTTCAACTATAAAAGAAATAACCTACTTGGCAGGCTAAGGTGAAAGAATCGCTTGAACCTGGGAAGCAGAGGTTGCAGTGAGCCGACATCGCGCCACTGCACTCCAGCCTGGGTGACAGAGTGAGACTCTGTCTCAAAGCAAAAAAAAAAAAAGAAAGGAGTTCCTACAGTCAAACTTTGAAAAGTCATCTTGATCCTTGCATAATAGCTATAGTCAATAACTTGGCCAGGCAGTAAGTCTGTTTCAAAGCAGGTGATGCTAAAAAGTATTTATTCAAATAAGCTATATTCTTAAAAGGGTTGTTGAAGTATAGAAACAAAGTCTCTTCACAACACATTATTAGACCTTTAGACTTTATTTTCACTTTAGTTTTCTAAATTTACATGACAAGAACACTTCTAGTTTGCCTAATATGTAATTAACAGATTTTTTAATAAACCCATGTGAATGCATTTAAATTCTATTTATCAGCTTTTTTCTTTCACCGAACACTATTATGACAATTTGTTAGTAGTATGTATGAATATAAGTTACATGTTAAGCCCTCTCTATCAAATGTTTTATGTTAATCCTGCTTTTAGATGAGTGACCAAAATTGAGATGGATTAGCTCAGTCATTCCTTATTACTCCTAAGCCTTTAAGGCAAAATGGAAAGGATTCTTTCAATCCTATAGAAACATTTAGTGCCTTGCAGCAGTCATGTACAAATGATAGTACCTTTGCCTAAAGGATTAGTGTGATTTCCAGAAGTACCTATTTACCCAGAAGGATTTCTTACTTCAAAGATTCTGTTATGTCTATGGCCAGCATTTGTTCATGGAACTGCTGAGAGTATAAAAGAAATATTGGTTTGGGGGTATTTTTTTTTTTTTTTTTTTGAAATGGAGTTTCACTCTTGTTGCACAGGCTGGGGTGCAGTGGTGCAATCTCAGCTCACTGCAACCTCCACCTTTTGGGTTCAAACGATTCCGCCTCAGCCTCCTGAGTAGCTGGGATTACGGGCGCATGCCACCACACCCGGCTACTTTTTGTATTTCTAGTAGAGACAGGGTTTTTCACCTTGTTGGCCAGGCTGATCTTGAACTCCTGACCTCAGGTGATCCACCCATTGTGGCCTCTCAAAATGCTAAGTTTACAGGTGTGAGCCACTGTGCCCAGCCTATTTTTATTTTTCAATTAATTTTTGTAGAGGTAGAAACAGGGTCTCACTATGTTGCACACGTTACTCCTGGCCTGAAGTCGTCCTCCCACCTTCGCCTCCTAAAGTGCTGGACTTACAGGCATGAGCCACCACACCCTACCTGATATATACATTTAAAAGGAAGAGGTAGGATGCCATGTTAGAGGGCTAGCATCCAAGCAGCATGGGATGATAAGAAAAGTATAGACTTCTGAGTCCTGAGTTTGCATTCTGTTTCTCATCACTTATTTTGTGACTGAGCACATAACCAGTCTTAATCCCTCCATCTTCATATAAATAGAGGTAGGTAGTGATGTGCCAGGTAATGTTGAAAGATTAAATGGCAGAAAATAATTGTGTATTGAACACATTTTGAAAGAATGGGATAATGTCATCAAGTACTGGTGAGGTCTGTGGAATTTGTAAGGGGTTCTGCACACTGGGCTACAGCACCGTTATTTCTTGTATAAAATGCCAGTTGGCTCAAAAGTCTTACAAAAGGAGGGTAAGACACTTCATTTGGACATTGTTTACCTGTTTTTCTTATCTCCATTATCTTTATCCATATCTGCATTTACTCAATGTTATATGGACCAAAAATGTCTTTTTTATCAAGAGTTAGTCTTGATAAAAGACTAAGACTCTCCTTATGTAAGAAAGACTAAGACTCTCTTTATCTAAGAAAAAGCTGAAATGTTACAGATTTTGTTTTTGTTGCTTTTTCATGTAAAGTTCGCTGAAGATATTTAATAAGTTTAAAAATGTTGCTGTGAGGCAGCTGATCAGTCTACTTTCAGCCTAAATTATGGTTAATTGCAAGCAATCACTATGCATACAACAGAGTATTGCTTTTAACCTGTCAGTGTTATCAGAATATGCCAAGCATGTGGAGATTAAAACTTGAAAAATGATTAAGGTTAGAGCTATTTGGGCTGCATATGCCAAAGAAAAATGTTGTTTTACCAGAATGCTCTAGAAAGTGTGGTGTTTGGAACTTTTATCATGTGGGCTAATTTTGTATTTAAGAGGGTATGATTATGAAGGCTCAAGATCCTGTCTTTGATTTTTAGAAAAACCTCAAAATGTGACTAATTCTGTGAGTAGATGATGACATTCATTAAGGAGAATGGCATGACCTCTCTGTGTGATTTGTCACTGAGGTAAACTGTTGGAGTGAAATGGTTTAAGACATATAACAAAAATTGCTTTTAATAAGTATTTTGAAGCCGGCGCAATGGTTCATGCCTGTAATCCCAGCACTTTGAGAGGCTGAGGATTTGGGATCACCTGAGGTTGGGAGTTCAAGACCAACCTGACCAAATGACACATTTAAAAAAAGAATGGGATAATGGCATTATCCCATGATAATGAGGAACATGGGGAAACCCCATTTCTACTAAAAATACAGAATTAGCTGGGCGTGGTGGCACATGATTATAATCCCAGCTATTTGGGAGGCTGAGGCAGGAGAATCACTTGAACCAGGAGGCAGAGGTTGCAGTGAGCCGAGATCGAGCCATTGCACTCCAGCCTGGGCAACAAGAGCGAAACTGTCTCAAAAAAAAAAGAAAAAGGTATTTTGAGCCTTTTAAAAGGTATTCAAAAGAAGCAAATATATTGTTTATTAATTCTCAACTATGTATTGACCTACTGTGCGCCTCTTCTGCTCTTGTCCTCCTACGCTATATTGTCCACACAGCAGCCAAATGAGAACTGTCACTTTTCTGCCTGTTCTCCAGCGGCTTCTGTCATGCTTCAAACTTGCCAATTGATTCCTTTTTTTTCCATAGAGACAGAGCATCACTGTATTAGCTAGGTTGGTCTTGAACTCTTGGCCTCAAGCATTCCTCCTGCCTCAGTGTCCCAAAGTGCTGGGATTACAGGCATGAGCCACCACACAGCCCAATTTCTACCTCAAGATTTTTATTCTTATTTTTATTCTTTTTTTGAGACAGAGTTTTGCTCTGTTGCCCAGGCTGGAGGTGGAGGTTGCAGTTGTGCGATCTCTGCTCACGGCAACCTCTGCCTCCCGGGTTCAAGTGATTCTCCTGCCTCAGCCACCCAAGTAGCTGGGATTACAGACTCATGCCATCATGCCTGACTAATTTTTGTATTTTTAGTAGCGATGGGGTTTCACCATATTAGCCAGGCTGGTCTTGAACTCCTGACCTCTACTGATCCATCCTCCTCGGCCTCCCAAAGTGCTAGGCTTACAGGTGTGACCCACTGTGCCCGGTCTACCTCAAGATTTTTTACTTGCTCTTTCCGTTGCCTGGAGTACTCTTTCCCACATTGTTACATGATTTGCTTCCTCAGAGCGCTGCTCAAATATTTTATAAACATTAGAATTTTCTCTTTGAATGGATGGTTTCTAGAGGTGGTTCTTGAGAAAAGATCAGGGAATAAATTATTAGAAATAATTGAAGGAAGCTACTAAGTTGCCTATTATTTGCTATGTACTCTCCTGACCCGATTATCTCATTTAATCCTTATAATCACCTCAGGAGACAGGATGATTAGTTTCCCTTCCAGTGATAAAGGGTCTTTTATGCTATAGATATTGTTGGCTAGGCCTTAATATGTTAACGGAAGCTTTAGTTAAATATCGTACGCCTCTGCAGAACTCAGGCTAGTTTCTGATTCAGTTTTTGAATATCCACCCACCTATTCATCCGAGTATACCATAAAGGGTAATGCTTAAATTCATAAACTTTGGAATCAGACACACCTGCC